AGAAAAATAGAAAACCCCAACATATTTTTCAAAAGAATTTATTAAAAATAAATAGTAGTGGATGAATTTAGAGTGATGTATTTTTACTTAATTTTATATACGTCTATTTAAGTAAATTTGCATAAAATTAGAAATATAATAAATCTTTCTTTTTAAGTGAATATATTTAAAAATTTTGTAGATGTAAATATCGATTCCCAAAATATTTTCATTACTTTTAACAATATAATTTAATTTCGTAATTAGGTAGATAGAATGAACACATATATTGATAAAATCCATACGTATGTGAAGCATATACATAAAATTGTTTCGACTCAAATTAAACAATTGCTTTCACTTGGTAGCAAATTAAATTGAAAAATAAAAAAGCAATAACTTTAATAATTGAATTTAATTCAACAAACTTCCTCAATTGCGTGATGCACTCGATTTGATTTGATCTCGTTTTCTTACTACTTATTTAATTACTGCATTTTCTTAATTTGACGTGGTCATTAATCTATATTGTATTGTACACTCATAATTTTTTTAAAGAAGTTTGACTATGTTGTCTTAAATTAATCAATAGTCATACAAGGTAATGCAAAATAATCCAAATTAATGTGTAATTCAATACGTAAAATGTTTGTTGGAAGAAGTACTTTTCATCAAGAATGAACAGGCGCCGCAGCTGATATTCTTGGAAATTAACCTTTTTTTTTTTTTGAATTTTAGTCTACATTCAATGCTTTCGTTCAAAGTCAACTTAGTACTGAATACCCTTCTAGATTGTCGCTTGTTCTTCTCGTTGCACTTCTCTGAAAGTTCAGATGGCCGCCAATTAATTCTAATATTCTGTAGTTTTTGGCTTTCACCACAGTCCACAGTCCACGGGCCAATTTTATTTTGTTAGCTTGCATGGATGGACTGGTTCATTTTCCAAAACAAACTCCACAAAAGTAATGCATTACTGTTTATTTCTTGGATGCATTTTTCGTAGGTAATCATTAAGCCTCCGTTCGGGAAAATTCAAAAATCACTTGTAAATGATTAAATTCCATTTTCAATCCATTCATTAATTCTATTCTCTTTAACCACTCGTTTTTATCTATTTGTAAATCATACCATTTATTAGTTTTTCCTACGTGGAGGCTAAATTGTAGTTGAAGCGATTATAAATTGTGAGTCATATTAAATATAAAATAATGCTATTTGCAGTCGCCCTCTGCAGCAGTCGCCCTATGTGGCACACACATGTCAAGTGTGTATTTAATGCATTAATGTGGTTAAAAAATTACTACATTAATGCAACAAATAACTACATGCCATGTGTGAGCCATATAAGGAGATTGCTGCAGTGAGCGACTATGAATAACATCACTCTTAAATATATGGATAATGAGTATATAGTAGCTAGTTGTGAATCTTACAAAATATATGGATGAAAAATATTTTTGATCAAAAGTGATTATAAAATAATCACTAACCAAACATGCACGGATTATTATTATTATTATTATATGGCAATGGAAAGCAGAATATATAGGGAAATTTGAATTTTAGTGATTTAATTGCTTTGTAAATTTATTTTTAACCTTTAAGATTTGAAGTTAGGAGTTTTCATGTTTCTTACAACATTTAAAAATTAATGCTATTTGTTAGCCGTCTGTGTGGCATAGGATAACTACCGCATTATTATTATTTTTTAAAAGAATGTGTTTAATTCATTAGAGAATAGTGACTCCACTTTCAATAAATGCTCATATATAACATTATTCTTTTTTTTTTTTTTAAATATAAAGGTCGTGCATGATATGTATAGTTTAAACACATTGAATAGCATGAAATAAACTTGTTTTATGTGTCTAAATTAGTTGAAACCCCAAAAATTGTTAAGTAAAACTTTCAAGTTTGTGTAAGATAAATATAAAGTTGTTTTTTGATTCATGATTCTAAGCCGTGTTTGATTCAACTAAAAATTAAAATTAAAATCTAAGTCAACAATTATTTTTAACCATATATTTTATGGGATTTACTGTAACGATCCAAATTTTAGGAATCCAAGATCGCTACCAAATATTTCTGTCCTATAATAAAATTTTGGAAAATCATTTATTGACGTAAGAGTGAGCAATAGTTAACACTAGTTACGTCATCACTAAATTCCTACATGGGTATTATGATAAATTTCCTTTACGATTATTATAACTAACCAATGTGCATGGAGACTTGGAACTAAAATAGCCAAAATACTCACCGTTTTGTTAAATCATGTGAGAGAATTAATGTTTCCTCTAAATTTACTACTTAACTCGATCAACCAGCAGGTGCAAAATCAAAGGACAAGTAGTATACTAATTTATTATGATCCCTACCAAATCATGATAAGTATCATTTATTATTATTTTTTCTCTTCCTTCAGTAGGACCCGGCCTCAAAAGTCACCCAATTTCATAGCATTATTCTGGTAGGTTACATTTATTGGGAAATGTCAATTGCTCTACATTTCAACCTCCCAATTTGACGTAATTATTAATACAGAAAACATAAATAGCGAGATAAACACCAAATACCATAAACAAGTCAAAATTTCCAAGTCACAATATGAAATTACATGTCCAAATAATTTTGTTCCAGATTTCAGATAAAATGAACGATTTCAAATTTTTTTTTAATAAACTAAGGTTACTGCTAAAATTTAGAATTCAAGGCACGTTACACCGGATTCGATTTATTAATTCCAAATGTCTGGCACCATGACTGCACTTCATTCCCCGCCAATCAACGACTTGTTCTAACCTATGGAGTAGGGAAAAAATGGTGAGTATATGAGAATACTCAGTAGGACATACAAAAAAATATGGTGCAATCCAAATAAAATATTTAAATCATGCGTCAAGAAAAATATACCGTCATCATATCTTTTGAAACCGGTAAGAGCTCATATCATATCATTTGTATCGGAATGGTCATATTATCATATCATAAAATATCATATCATATTTTTAACTTTCATAAGTATAAAATTTCATTAACATGAAAGAAAAATAATTTAATCGGGATAAATCACTTGCACCACATTTCCTACCTTGTTAACTTGCTTTAATTTTGGAAGACCAAACAAAAAGCACGTTCCAACAATTCATTTTTCTGCCTCTGCTTTTGTGTCGTGCATAAAAGTATATTTTGCTTGTGTCATGCACCTCTAAGCATCTAGGCAATAATAACCTAAATTCTAAAAAAATTGGTGATTAGTGGGAAACGTGTGGGAGTGAGAAAGGGTAATTGGATAGGAATATTTAAAACTAAATTTTTACCAAGTATTATCAATTTAGAATTCCCACACGTCAAATCAACCACAACAAAAATAAAATAAAATAGAATAGAATAAAAATAGAAACAAACACATATCATACACGTGCTTTCTAGAGGTGGGCGTGGGTTGGGTTGTGTCGATTTTTTACCCAATCCAACCCAACCCAATCAAGTTTCAATCGAGTTAGGTTGGGTTGGTCGATTTGGACATTAAAAATCATAACAGTATATTCCGAAAATAAGAACCTATCAAGCACATGAAATGCATAAATAAAAAATGATAAAAAAGAAAATAGAGGCATCATGTACCTGTAATTAAAACTGCATTTATTTTCAAATCAAAGCTTAACAAGAAATGGGAAAGATTAATCAAAAATCCACTACAACAACTTTTTAATAATATAACCACAAGTTAAATTATAAACTTGAAATAATCATAAATACTCGGTACAACTTCTTCAAGATTTTATAGTGTAAAAGTTCTAAAAAAATGTCAACGACAAATTTTAGCAATTAAGAAATTTACAAAAATAGACTTTCCCATTTCTTGGTGAGAAAAATAAGAGAGGCAGGGGCGAGTGGAGGGAGATTATTAGGTAGGGTTGTGTAATTGTGTTTTGTAACTTGTTTGTCCCGTGACTTTTGAATTTGGAATAGAGTTGCGTATTTTTTTTTTCTTTTTTTAAAAAAAACTAAGTTGGTCGGGTCGGCTCGGGCCGGGTTAAATTGGTTTTCTTGGATTAACCCATGACTCGACCTAACCCGACCTGCCCTTTTCGTCCAAAACTCAACCCAACTATAAAATTAAAAAAAAAAAACCGACCCAAACCGATATGTTTGGTTCAGTTTGGACGATTTAGACGGGTTGATTTGCGTTTTGCCCACCCCAAGCGCTTCCCCATTAAAATTCACAATTCAATAAAATAACTTAAATAAATTATAATTTAAG